TTATATATATATATATAAAATAGGGTATAGTCAGAGGTTTCTCATCAATCACAGTATCAAAATGTAATATGGCAGCCTTGCATGTAATTGGAATTGTATAAAAGAAAAAAAAAACAGATTTTCTATTTTATCTTATTGTCTATACCAGTTTATCCATGCTATGCTGGTGCCTGTCTCCTGTGGTCTTTGTGCAGGACGCATGATACACTTTAAATAGATGCATGGCGCCTTCTAGTGGCAGGACACCGGTTTTCATCGACTACCTTTGCCGTCCTTTGTAACACTTGCTAGCAGATCTATAATAAAGCTAAACAAATCCGAGGACCACAAGGTTTTGTTGAAATTGGCTACAGTCGTGAGTGTTGAGAGTCATGTGAGAGACGAGCAGTGAATTAAAGATATTCAAGTTGTTTTTGTTCTTGGAAATCTTTACAAAGCAAAGCACTGCCCAGAGCAAGGTTTTGAGTCAGCTGCTTCTCAGCGAGGACACTGCATAAGGTCTCTGCTGTGAATTGTGAAATATACTGCTGATTATCACCAGAGTCAGTAGATTTCTGAAGAATGTACAAACAGAAATAGATGGGTTAGACTTTAGTGAACATTAGGATAAGCATCCTCTGCTGTTGGAAAACAGGAAGTAAAAATGAGACTTTGAAACTCAAAACACAAGTACTTTGTGTTTCAAGAAGTAAAAAGAAACTATTAATTAATAAAAAAGAAACTATTAACTCATATGACAACCAAGACCATTCTGGAAATTATAGTGGCTCAGTAAGGTCTTTATAAATGTATTTACAATATTTCTTTACTTGTGTGTAATGCTTTTTACACAATCTAAAATAGGCTATGGCAAGATGAGAATGCTTAAAGTTATTTTCAGCCAAACCAGTTTAACCTAAATATGGTTAAACAATTGTCTTTCAACTTGTCGTTTTGTTTTGCTATTATGCTGTAAATCATTATTAAATCAAGAAAATGTCGGCCCTCCCACAACATGCAGTCAGGCCTTTGGAGATATGAGGATATAGGGTGAGTAATCACAGTCAGAGCATGTATTGATATATTTTCCCTATTTTTTTCTTCTTTATTTTTGTTTATCATCAAATTCTTCCCACGACGGTGCTTATTTGCATCTTGTTGGCAGGAGAAAAACATGATGTGTATAAACACTGTATAATCAAGTTAATGAGTGTTTTTCTTTTAACAGCTACCAGGGGAAGGATGGAGGCTGGAGAAAAAAAAAAAAAAAATATATATATACTAGGGGTAGGATACCCCTAGTGGTATCCTACCACTAGTGGTAGGATACTTGCTCCCCTGTGGCAAACACTTGGCAGCAGATGTGTTGTGTTATCATGATAAACAAATTCATGCAGACTGATCTTTTTAACAATGGCTGTTGTGTTGAGTACTAAATGTCACGAGACAGCATCAGTGATGTTAAGATATTTGAGTTTTTCTTCTTAGAAATCATCACAAAGCACAGAACCGCTCAGAGCAATTGTGTGTAAGTCAGCTGCTTCTCAGTGAGGACTTTGTTTCATGTCTTTGCTGTGAATAGTCCCGTATCTGTGATATGTGACGACAGAGTAAGTGGTTTCTGAAGAATGTAGAAAATGTAGAGGATTGGACCGAGGTTTTTTGGTCATTTTAGAGGGCTAAAAACCTTAAAAGAAAGTTGTGGAGTTATTATTATTATTATTATTATTATTATTATTATTATTATTATTATTATTATTCTTTAGGCACTGCCTGTAAATGTGTTAGTTAATTGAAACTAAAAAATGCATTAATTTAACATTAACGTTAATGTTAAAATTAAATATGCATACAGAGTGAGGTTTTTGTGGCAGAATTTAAAACTGTGGTCCCACTACTGTCATGGAGAGTTTTACAGAGCAACCACAGCAAACACAGTGATGTTCTGTGTGGCTATATATTGGGAATTAAGCTCCTGCCAACACAATCTGAAGCATAAAATTAGTAAATATACCACCAAAAAGGGTGTTTAATATACAGTATATATAAAACTTCAACCTTGTATCTAATGGAAATAAACCCCAGAGCACATGCTATTGATTCTGGAAATGTGGAGATGCTTTTCTTACATTTCAGGTTTTTATCAATAAAAGATTTTGAAAACCACTTATTTATTATTTTCCTTCCAGTTCAAAGCAATGCATACATTTGGGTTACTCGATCGCATAGAATTTCCCAACACAGAGACAATGAAGTTTGTGGTAACATGACTAAACAAGGGATGCAACTACATTTGAAGGCACTGTAAATTTGATTGAATTCAATAATCTATAGGAATTAGACAAGTATATAGAATAAACATATTGTATACATTTGCATTTATAGCCATGGCTAAATTGCAGTTCTTGTCCCGAGAACAGCCTTATTACATACATAACACCTCTGGAAAAAGGAAAATATTTCGCACAATTACAAATCTGAACTGTAAAAAAGGAGCAGCATTCAGTTTTTATGCTCCACAAATCCAGAAATGTCCAAAACACAGCTGAAACACTGAATTCCTTTAAATCAAGGCTAAAATCACCTTGGCCCCATATTAAGAGTTGACCTTTATTATTAATAACTGGATCATTGATTTTATATTTGATGTATATTGCTAATTATTTTTTTCTTGCTAAGTTTGATGATGGAATTGGACAAAACGTAATGTTTGTTTGGTTATTGTGTTATATTTTATATAATGCACTTTGAACTGCCTTGCTACTATATATACATACATTTACTTGACTTAAACTATGAAGATTAGTTCATTAGTTCATGTGTAGGTTCTTCTCAGGCTGTTTGCACCACTCATGACGTAAGCTCGAGGGTATTATAGCATGTGACTGAGAGAGCAGTGGAAGGGTGGGGGGGGGAGTGGGGTCTCAAAAACTTCAGTGAAAATTCCTCCCACTTTCCCACTGTGGAAGTTTTTGGTTCGTCTCTCAGTGTCTGCTTCGCCTCTGAAAGGAAAAGCTTTGCTGCTGAGATGTGGGGGGTAAAAGTTATTATTTTCATCCTTTGTTTGGTGCCCACCTATCAGCAGTTCCCTCGCCTTTGTGTAACGCAACAAGCCCTGCGGACCAAGGAGTGCTGTCCGGTGTGGGAGGGGGACGGCTCAGCCTGTGGAGCCAGGTCAGGCAGGGGCTCCTGTGAGGATGTGGAGATCTCAGAGCAGCCCGACGGACCGCAGTACCCCTTCTCGGGACTGGACGATCGAGAGAAGTGGCCTTTGGTTTTCTACAACCGGACTTGTCAGTGTGCAGGGAACTTTATGGGGTTTAACTGTGGGGACTGCAAGTTTGGCTACTTTGGGGACACCTGCAACGAAAGAAGAGAGTCCCTCAGGCGGAACATATTCCACCTGACCAGGGCTGAGAGAAACAGACTCATTTCTTACCTGAATCTTGCCAAGCAGACGATCAGCAGGGACTATGTTGTTGCAACAGGGACCTATAGGGAGATGGAGAATGGCTCCAATCCGATGTTTGCTGATGTTTCTGTGTATGATGTGTTTGTCTGGATGCATTACTATGTGTCTCGCAATGCGCTGTTAGGTGGGCCAGGGAATGTCTGGAGAGATGTGGACTTTGGACACTGGGCTCCTGCATTCCCACCATGGCACCGTGTTTACTTGCTGCACTGGGAACATGAGATCAGGAAGCTGACAGGAGACATGACTTTCTCCATTCCCTACTGGGACTGGAGAGATGCACAGGACTGTGACGTGTGCACTGATGAGTTGATGGGGGCCCGGAGCCCCCACGACCTCAATCTTATCAGCCCAGGCTCTGTCTTCTCCTCTTGGAAGGTAAAGTAAAGCGTGCTTTTTTTCTTTTGTTTATATAAAGATGTTTTTGAAAAGATAATTGATTGTCTTTTTTTTTACCTAACAAGCAAAACAGAAATTTAAAATACATGCCAAACAGAAACTCTCTTCAGTCCTCTTTCAAAAAATATATATATATTTTTACCCTAATAGGAGGGAAAAAGAAATACAAGAACAATTCCTCTTTTTTGGCTTTTTCGTCAACTGAAATTATCATTTCAAAAAGAAAAAAAATATCCCAACCATGTGAATAACATAATATTTCAAACAAAAATAGCTTGATTTGTAAAATCTTGAAACAACTATGATTAACTTTTTTTTTATAAGTCAACAATAACAGACAAAAGAGGTAAAAATGGAATCCATAGACGTTCCAAGGCAAAGTAAACTGACCCAAAATAAACATAAAAGCACATTTTGTAGAGCATTTGTACCATTACATCTGCTGATTTACTGGGGAATTATTTTTTAACATAGGCCCCAGTTGCTTTAATAACTTTTTCCATCAATACACAAATCTTAAAACTGCAACACCTTCTTTCAAAGTTATGATTGAGATTTTCACACTAACCCAGCCTTATTTTGTAATCCCAATCAGCTAGTTTCTCTTCTTTTTTTTTTTTTAAAGTTCAAAAGTGTACTTACGAAAGAGCTTACGGAATAAACTCAGAAGAAAATCTTCTAGAAAGGACATTTGCACAAGATAGAAACTCATATTTGTGTTTCAAACCCGCCTGTTTATTCCTCAATTATGGATTAAGTAATGTTTAGTTCACTAATAAAGGTTTGTGTTTACAATTTAACTTTCTGTACTCGGCAACAACAGGTGCTGTGCTCCCAGTCCGAGGAGTACAGTAACAGGGGTGTTCTCTGTGATGCCAGAAATGAAGGCCCCCTCCGCCGTAACCCTGGAAACCACGATCGAAATATTGTGCAAAGATTGCCAACTTCTGCAGATGTGGAGTTCACACTCAGCCTCCCAAACTATGACACTGGAGCAATGGACCGCACCGCCAACATGAGCTTCAGGAATACCCTGGAAGGTCAGCCAGTCAGAGCCTGACTAAAAACCAACACCCAATCTGACTTATGCTGTTTCTCTGTTTATCTATATCCTGCTGTCATACTTTTATATACAGTGCAAGCTCTTCTTAAGGTTACTCATCATTCTTAGCAGTGAAGGACCTTTCTCTTCACTGGAAAAAAAACAAAAAAACAAGAAAAGTTTGATATTTTTATAAGTGTTTAACATCCAAGCAAAAGCAAATGTCCATTCTGTTTTGAGAAGTAGAAAAAGCTAGGATAGTCCATTCTGCATAAAATAATCAGTTGCTTCAAAACAGAGAACGTTATCTAACTTTCTCTGTTTTGAAGCATCTGATATAGGTGGTTAACCTTTAACCACCTATATTAAGCAAAAATGGTGTAGTGGAGCACTGCTGCTGAGCTATTTAAAATCCTCCATCTCTCCTACCACATCTTCATTAGACCAGTGGATCTGACTTTATGACTGAGGGAGACACCCATGTGACCCTAAGACACAAGCTGCCCACATGATGGTTGAAGAAACACATGTGGCCCTAACGATAGTCATATTGCTCAAAATGACCTGCAATCAGTTGGAATTAGAAATATTTCTTGGACAATAACAGTGCTTAAGAGCCAAAAAAAGTAAAAAAAAAAAAATAAAAAAATAAAAAAAAGTCTTGATCTGTGACATCGCTAGGATTAAAAGATAAGATGGTCTTAGCCCCAAAGGTCAACAGGAAGTTATGTACAACTTCATTGGATTTCTAAATGTTTTCAAAGCAGACTTCATGCATTTTATAGTGCTTATTGTAGAACGTGACATCAGTCCAGTTTTCTTTATTCTGCTTCTTGTAGAAACAGGAGAAAGGAATCTTAAGGATTTCTTAAAATGTGAATTATCAACAAAGACTTAATGGAATGGTTTGGTTTTATTGATATTGAGTTAATATAAGGTGAGATGGATGAAGGTAAACAGAAAACCATTAGAGTTGTTGCTCATGAAGTTTCTTAAGCAGCATGTTGGATCAGGTAGTGGACTTTTACAAGTTGACTTTGAGAAGTGAATAATAAAAATATAGAAGCTGATGTGTTTTTATATATTTAAATTTAGATCTAAGTAACTATAAAATATGGTACAAACCTGTTATTAGTAAGTCCCAATACAAAAAAATTGTGCAAAACTTGCATACGTTTTTTTACTATTCCTATATGACTTGTATTACTAAATTAGATCATAGTCATATGCTTATGTACTCAGTAAGAGTGGCCATTTATTTAGGCAATGTTCGCTGACAGTAATGCAAAAGAGGAAGAAATGTATTTGGATCACCATGCTCATTTAAGAAGGCTGTTGAGAGCCTAAGCTGCAAATCCGACTTTTTTACTTGCGCTTCAGCAAACATTTTAGAACTAATCCCATTTTAAGTTGTGACAGATAATGTGAGGGTTTCCCATGAGCTCGTTCAAGTGTGAGCATACTTGAAAGCGGTTAAATAGGGCAGTTAAAATCAGATATTTCTAATGTGTCTGTATGACAGAGGCTCATCAACATATTTTTCTCACTGTCATTAATGAAACTAGACTTTTCTGATACATTATTATTTTTTTTTTTTAGTTTACTGTTAGTGAACTGTTAATTTAGTTAACATAGTTTAGCAGCTCATTTACAATGCTTCTTTGTTTGACGCCATTGGTCAGTCAAAAGAAACTGGTGTCCCAGAGAAGAATCTGCTTGGTTTGAGACATGCACCTGTTCAAGGCATTGAAGCTGCTGAAACTGATGAGTATGTCAGTATCCATGGTGAAACCTGTCCTTTACCAATATTGGCTGAAATGATAAAGAACCCATTATTTTAACAGCAACAAAACAAGATAAATTACAGAAAATTTGTCTTCATAGTGTTTCAAAACTATTAGTTTTAACTGTATATTCTGAGTGACCGTGGTTAAGATTCTTTACCAAAGTCAAGAACTAAATGTAAAAAAAAGAAAAAAACACTATTTGATAATGATGCAACAAGGAAGCTTGCGGTTTTCTAGTTTTCTTTGCTAGCGCCAGTCACCCATATTACTCTTTCTGCAGGATCCGGGGACCCTCAGACTGGGTTGGGAAGCAGTTCTAGTTTGGGTATGCATGCTGCCCTGCATGTGTTCATGAATGGATCTATGTCCTCTGTGCAGGGCTCTGCAAATGACCCCATATTTATGCTTCATCATGCTTTTGTTGACAGGTAAGAAATGCATCCGCACAGACCTGAAACTGAGACCACATATTTTTGCAGTTAATAGTGGTTCTACATTTTCTCTATCTTTTAAAGTATCTATGAACAGTGGCTAAGGAGACACAGACCATCTCCATCTCAGTATCCGGAGTCTAATGCTCCCATAGGGCACAACGGTGATTACCACATGCCTCCGTTTATACCCCTGCACAGAAACAAAGAGTACTTTATTTCCAGCAAAGACCTTGGATATGAGTACTCTTATTTGTTGGATGCCAGTAAGTTCCTCTCAGATTTTAATAAATTGTTTTTATCGGTGTTTTATTTTTTTATTTTATTTTATTCTGTCATGCCAGCTATTTTCATCTACAGTTAGTAAATATATTACAGAATTAATTAGTTTTAGGAATCAGTTTACACATATACAGTGCAATTCAAAAGTATCTACACTCCTCAAAATTAATATGATTATTATTTTATATATATATATATATATATATATATATATATATATATATATATATATATATATATATATATATTTTTTTTTTTTTTTTTTTTTTTTTTTTTTTTTTTGAACCCAAAAATTATAAAGAGTTATTTGAAAATTTTTGAAAATATTTAGAAGAACAAA